CACAACACTAGGAAACATTTGATAACACACTAAATGATTAAGATGACATGAAGAGAATTTGATTATATATTTTCTTGATATTCGTAAATCTGAATCAAAACTGATTGGTACTGAAGTAAATAAATTATGCCAGCGGAGTGAATAACCAATTTATATATTTTTGGAAATCCTTAATATATATATGAGGTAGTGGCTGGGTTGGGAGATAAATCGATAGACCGATACAAACCAAGACACTTTTCTTCTATGGCAATATTTGTACAAATTCTTCCCAAATGAACAGCGGTGAGGGCCCAATTTTGCGTAAGTCCATCATCTTCTCTTCTTGACGAAAGTAAACATTAGACTGACCACAGAACCGATTACTGCGCTGTGCAGATTAGTGCATGTATTGCTGCGCGATTGTCAAAATTATATTTTGTTAATCATCAGTGTCTGCCGTTCCATATTTATGCTTTCAAAGGCGTTTATTAATGCTTTTATACCTCATTTACGTGTTTTAAGATTGATCATACAGGTTTTAACGGGAATCGGTCTGAAGAACCTTCTGCGCAAGTGCAGTTTCGCGTTTCTCGCCGCCAGTTTTGACAAGGATTCGCAGGTGGTCGGTGACAGATGGCCGGTAAGAAATGAATTGTTTTCGGTGTTGCTTCGATTCTAGGTTATGCTTAAGACCATACAGTGGCAACGAAGAAGAAAAAAGAACTTAATAACTATCGCAGTTCGATTTCTGAGGCCATCAAGTATCCGAAATACCGAAGAAAGCGATAAAAACGAAGCAATCCACAATAGACGACCAATGGATCGACCGAAAGAAGCGAAGGAAAATTGACAGTTCGGTCTTTCGATATATAAAGGTATTTGGTTTACTGTTTACAGTATGGACGTAGCTCTGTCTTGCCGTACATACCGAGGTGAAGAGAATGTCCCGGGCACCCCCATCAACCTCCCCCCCCTCGGGCACGCCAAATCACGGCACCGTAAATTGGTAGGTTAGGTTGGGTTATGGCTTAGGACGTTTTTTTTCTTTGTTTAGTAGGTGTGATCCCCGTAGATTTTACCGAAAGGTGGGTTGGATTCTCGTAGAGTTTTTCGAATCTTGGCGCATTGGTGCGTAGATTAAGTTAAGTAAGTTTATTTACTACCCTGGCTAACTGCTCAAGCGTGGGCAATCGTGATTGCAGAGTCCCTGATATATTTCAAGCTCTCCCCTGCTAACGGGACTAAAAAATTAAGATTATCGATGGAAGTGGTTCTCAGATCTCATCAATGAAGCATTTGCACAAGAAACATCAAGAATCGTTGAAATTAGTGGATTTCCTGCAGATAAATATCAAAATTGTTTCGAAAGTAAGCCTGTCCTACATATTGACCCATACATATATGTAAATGCATATATATAAACATGTATATATATATATATATGTACACATATATACTTATATACACTCATGTATATATGTATGTATATATACATACATATATGTATATATAGATATAGATATAGCTACATGGATAGGTACATATATAAATAGATACATAGATATGCATATAATATGAATGTTATATATATATATATATATATATATATATATATATACATATATATATATATATATATATATATATATATATATATATATATATATACAGGAGCGCCGACAGGGGAGGTATCCGCGGCATCCGGGACCCGGGCCTCAAAAGGGGCCTCAACGGTAGTCGCTTATTTCCGCCAAGAAAACAACTAACAACTAAATTTATCGGGTGTATTCATACTAAAACAACGTTACAGCTGTAAACGTTAACACGTTTAAGGGAAAAATGAAAATAAAAAATTGAAAAAGGTATTTCCCACCCAAAAAGGATGTAACCCTGAGGGCCCGGCCCTGTTCTTTGCCCCGGGGCCGGGGACCAGGGGCCAGGGCCCTGCGTGTCAGTGTGTGTTCGTGTATATGTGTTTCTGTGTGTATATATTTTACAAAAAACACTGATATTGTTTGGTTTGCCATGGGACCCATCATGTGTGTAAGGGTAATGTGGTCCACGGGGCGTGTTGACCGATCGCTCACTGACCCATGTTTCTTTCTCTCTCTCTCTCTCTCTCTTTCTCTCTCTCTCTCTCTCTCTCTCTCTCTCTCTCTCTCTCTCTCTCTCTCTCTCTCTCTCTCTCTCTCTCTGGATAGACTGGTAAATGTACAGACAACCTGCATGGTTGTCTATGCATGGCTCCTAGTCAACATAGTGAGTAGTAGTGAGTTGGGTATGTTACAATGGGCTGATAGAGAGATAATTGGAAAGATAGTGAAAGCAAAGAGAGGGAGAGAGAGAGAAAGGGATACATTATGATTTATGAGACAAGGTGGCAAAATGCGTACTTTCTCTCATTATTTCTCTCATGTTTTTTTTTCTGTTTCCAGCCAATCACGTAATTTGAGCTGATCTGAAATAACCGCAATCGGTGGTACTGAGAGGTATTCGACTAAAATTTAAATGGATCAAGAAATTAGGAAATCTGGCTGCATTAGAGGGGAGCGTGCCCATGACAAAACATTGACTGTAGGGAGAAAGAAGGAAAAAGAGAGAGAGACAGACAGAGATAGAGAGAGGAAAAGAGAGAAAGAGAGACAGAGACAGAGATAGAGAGAGGAAAAGAGAGGAAGATAGACAGAGACAAAGTGAGAGAGAGAAAGCGGCCGGTCGAAAAAGGCAGATCTATTGTTTGTCTTTCCAAACAATAAAAAAAAAAAAAAAAAAATATCAACTAGTGTTGGTGGAAGAATGGTATGGCTTGGTTGGTGGTCGAGTTGTGGGAGGTTTTCCCACAACTCTAACTCCAGGACTCGGTCCTAATTAACAGGACCGGACTTTGCTCGAAACTAAGTAAGTCACGGATCGAGTCCCAGATTCATTCGTGTGACTCGGTGTCGACCTTGTTCATTATTGAATGAGTTCAAATTTTCCTGAACTAAACCGAAGCGTTTTTTTTCATTCGCCGAAGCGCTAGATTTATCAGGAATCCATGATGTTAGCGCCTGGCGATCCCTTTCGTTCGCCAGGCCTGGCGAACACCTGCCTTAGTTTAAAAGTAAGGCCTCCCTCACTCAGATGTTCGCCTGGCGAAGCTTCGCCAGGCGAACGCCAGCATTGGCGAAAGGTTTTAAAAGTACTTTATACTATACTATATCAACCATATACTTTTATACAAAAAATAACTTTATACTTTAACAAGAGTTTAAAAATTACTATTTTACTATTCCTAACTGATGTAAGATATTGAACTGTAGGCCTACAAGGGTATCATTAAAGACGCCTATAGGGCGGTGGAGCACTACAGCTCTGTTTCTATAGCCAAAAGTAAACATGCCGCCATAAAAAACACTTCTGGTAACATTTGTGAATAGAACATTATCCTTACAACCAAAATAACAACAACCTAAATCTAAATGTCATCTCGGGGGTGGGGGGTAGGGGTAGGGGGGTAGGAAAACAGCTGATGTCTTGAGCTCTCGACTGGAACATCGAAGGTCTTGAAAAAAATACGTATATACGTTATTTCATAACAAATTATGATTTTAAGATATTTTATAATTTCAATGTGATTTCTACATCCTATTATACACAAATATGTTACTAATTTATAATTTGAAAGCAAGAAAATGGTATTCAAACAGCTCTCTTCGCCAGGCTGTTCCAATATGATCTTTCGCCAGCCCTGGCGAACGTTCGCCAAGCATGATTTTAAAAGTACGAAATTCCGGATCGCCCGGCGAAACCCTTCGCCAGCCCTGGCGAAAGGTTTTTAAAGTACGGGCCTTAGAAAGAGGGTGAGAGGCTGGTAGAGAGACTGTAAGAGAGAGAGAGAGAGAGAGAGAGAAAGAAAGAGCTAAAGAGAGAGGGAGAAAGAGACAGAAACAGAAAGATCTCTGCATGATGGGGAATATTTCCTAGTGTAAAAACATTAATGATAAAGAAAAAAATAATGATAATAGTAAAGATAATAATAATGATGATAACTAGCATGCCCAGTGGCATAATAGCCCTTTGTAAACTATGTACTTTAAAAATACGCGCCTTTACTAGAGCTATCGAACGAATGGTCAACACTCTATTTCCGTTCTCGAGATATTTTGTTCCTAAATTTGTTTGTATGTATATACGTCCCAATAACGGTCGGGTTTCGGTCGGGTTAGGGTTCAGGTCCCAAAGTTTCATGTTCCTATCTAGTTTGTAACCCTTTTTTCTAGAACACTCAAAACCCAAGATTTGGCATAAACGTGTATCTGCTTTGGCCCCGGCTTCTGATGGAAGTTCTTGGCTATTGTTTGGATATGGCTATTGTTTGGGAGTGGATATGAGTTAGTTTGAGTTGATTGGGTGAATTTCAGGGGGAAGGGGGGGGGGAGGAGGTTTGGGTTATATATGCTATGATTATTGATTGCAACCATCATGAAAAAATATCAGGCCTATTATCCAAAAGGATGTCGAGAAAATAAGTGTGTAATCTGGTTGCGGTTAAACAAGTCTCGATACATTTTATGCATGCCGTCGAACAATGCTAAAATAAGCACAGATTCTATTAACGAAGACCATTGGTAAGGTAAAGGATTGTTAATGCTTATTAGTTTGTCCTACATTTGTTTTGTACAAGAAATCACACGTTGCGGCTTATTTTGAATAGATCATGATGTATAGAGAATATATCATTTAGGAAAGAATTGTCAAACGAATTTATAAATAACCGAATATAACACACACAGTAGTGCATGCAGTTAAGATCAACGCATTTTTTTCTTCGATATACTGTTTTCGTTGTAATCTGCTATCACCGCTGGTGCAGTTCTCGTAACCGACGTACAATCAAAGTTTCACAATACCGTTC